TTTCAGAATTACTGTACTAGCTACTCCTAGGGTATACATAAAATCCCTGCAATCCAGAAGTGTGCAGACAACATGAGTAAATTTAACAGTAATCTGATTTCTATCCAGCAGGTATTTTGCTTTAATTTCACCATAAACTGGAACTGTTTATTTAGAAATTCCAGCCTTCTTTCTCTTCCTCTGATTTTGCTTCCCGGGAGGACAGGTTATCTGGGAAATTAGTCTGAAGGAATTATGCTTTTAAAGGTTTCAGAGTTGTGGGCTTTATGCATGGAAACACAATTATTACTTGAAGGGAAATTAGCTTTGCCATATAGCACAGAGTAGTTGTAGTACATTGTCAGCTGGAGTGAGCTGTATGCTGATTTACACCTGCTGAGTCCTTCATTTGCCAAAATACTCATCATGACCCTACAGATTGGGGTTTTACATCAGATTTTAGTGAGCCTGTGGGGCTTCTGGTCATAATGAGATGAGTGTTTTGGCAACAGTAATCACAAAGAGTCATCGACTCAATGCTCCTTAGAACCAAAAGAGACCATTGGTAGGGAAATTTTTTTCCCAGAAGCCTGACCTGTTCTATATTCAGCTGAGCACTGTCAAGTACAAGTTGCAGGTGCTTTTTGTTTTCTCTTTCCATAACAGAATTGTACTTTGTCAAATGAAATATACTGAAAGAGTAATCAAAGATCATATGAAGAATGAAATGTGGAATAACACTAAGAACAAAAGCAGAACTGATTTAGTCTCATTAGCAGGTAATAGGACAAAAAATATCTTAGTTTCTGAATTACCAAGCACAGAAGCAGCTCTTAGTCTTTTAGTCTTAGTCTTATCTCATGATATTTATTAAGGGATTCCTTCTGCACTTTGGAAAACCAGGTGAGGTTACGCAGGTATTTTATGACAGTATAATATTTCCAAATACTCCCTTGCTCATTTGAGACATGTTTTCAACATCTTATACAAGTAAAGCTGTACAAATTATTTCTTGACTGGTTCACTCACCCTGCAGAATGGACATTTCAAGCCATATGTCCATATAAAACTAGATAATGCAACTCAGACTGATAACAGCTGAAACATATGCATCTGCCAAATCTTTTTTTTAGTGTTTTGCTGCAGAAGATAAAGAATATAAGATGAGCACAATTTAAATGACTTGAAGTCTGAATTATGATGTGATCTGTCAGAATCTATAGAGAGGGAAATTGCATTGGTTGATACTTATACCCTGGGGTCACCCTAGGGTAGTTCCAAGAAATCACCAACATAAATATTTTTTCAATCCAGTCAACATCAGCAGAAGTTGTCAGGCACAACTATGAGGGAAAAATATTTTATTTCATCCTAAATCATGGAAGTGATGGACCTGAGTAATTATAGTAGAAGCTCACAAAAATGATAAAACACTTAATTTACTAGACTGGAAAACACTGAAAAATGTAAAGAAGCTTCCATTTTCCTTGAAAAACAAAACAACCAAACAACAACAACATGAAAATAAAGCCAGACAGTAGACAGAGACTATTTGATTTCAAATCCTGTTTTCTCAGAAGTTTTTCTAACATATATTCCATGCAATCTGAAATTAGCAGAAATAGAGCCATCAGAATTCGTAACGCTGCCAGGAAGAATATTTCTTCTTTCCCTCCCACATAACACTATCTCAAAACCTATGCACACCTCATAAGACTTGAATTATCAATACTGGAAGTTTCTCACAGATGGAAACAAAATCCAGTTATAGTTACAAGATAAAGGAATAAATAAATAAATGGATGTTTGAATTCCCCAATATGAGACAAAACTGATAAAAATCATAAGGTTAAGGAATAAGCTGTTCAGTGAAAACATTTCTCTTTGATTGTCCAATATGTTCATTTATCTGCTCCAAAACATCTAGTATGAGTCATTATTGGAGACAGAATACCTACCTAGATGTTCTACACTCTCATCTGTAGTGCAATTCTTAGATACATTCAAACAATTATTTAGTCTAGGAACATTACAACTTTACAGCAATTTTTATTAGCAAAGCTTTTGTATGTGATGTGTGGACAAAGACTGACAAGTTTCATTATAATATCAAATGAATAAACATACATAGTTTTAGCTTATGTTGCAAAAAAGCTTAGTAGAAATAAGTACATCATCTCACAACAAACTTGTATAGCTCAATTAACTGGCTACTACATTCCTCTGAATTAGTTCTGCAAATTGAAATACATCAAAACACTATTAACTGGAAAATCCTTTTGTTACTGGTGAAGAGTAATTGCTACTGCAGAAGGAACACATCACTACTTCTCAATCTGAAATCTCAACAGACAATCCATTGCCCATACCACTGGAAATAAGACAGTGTAGTTGGATTTATGTAATCAGGTGCTACATCTGTCTGTAAACTCTCTTAAGTGATTGCAGCATAAACTCTCTTAAGGAAAGAGAAATAAAATAAATACATCTATCACAAGAAACAGAACAGAGGTCAAAATCTCATGAACTAACAGAATGTATTTCATAAATGTAGAGATATGTTTTCATTGCATGCTAAAAACATCCATATGGTCTAACTCCCTGTTAATTGATTCATAGACTGAGATGATTGATTCAAAGGTTCCTATGATCTGCATTTAAGCTCAACAAATTTAGCCCCTTCCTATCACAAGGCTCACTTCATATTCCCTGTTTAAAAAAAATGTCAAGTTTATTCTCAGTAAGTTCCTCCTACTCCCATTACACATCTATTACATCTGAGTGTAGTAGTAGGTTAAGAGCCATCTATTTGTTTCTAGCCCAGTTCTTTCAAGACTACTCAATAACATCCTAGCAAGAAACTGAGGTGCACTGGAAGTGATGATGTCAACAAGAACACATACAGCCCTGTGCCAGTATTACTGCAAGTACTGTCATAGCTAGCAGAACAAACTAAAGAAAGCAGCTTAGAAGAAACCCTCCACATGCCAGGTTTATCCACTGTCTAACTGTGAAGATGGTCATCAAAAAATGAAATGACAGAACAAAAGTTGGAAGGTTGATGAGATTCTGTAAAATGGATGCTCCTAATGACATTTGATTTCTAAAATATTGTCACTGTTTTTCAAAATTTGTGATTATTTTTAAGAAAGCCGCTAAACAATGAAGGATGAGCCAATTATGGATAAAAAAAGTTACTTTTTTTTAATGTTAAGGGTAATAAAAAATAGACTTCTACACAACAGATAGAGAGGAGACACTCAGTTGAAGAGACAAAGTTAGGATGTAAAAGAATGGAGGAAGGGGAAGGAGGAACTTAATCACCTAAGAATGTCCTTTCATATATTATTTTCAAGAGCAGAAAATAAGTATAAACGAGCAGAAATGAGAACACAAATCTACTCTGAAATATATTCTGGTCATCAAACAAAGCCAGAAGTTATCTGAGGTTATCAGCAAATTTATGAATTGATACCACCAATATTAGTGCCAGCACAATGGCACTGTCTGAAAAAGATTGGCATCTATTACTGGACAAAAAAAATAAGTTCTTCAATTATTGTTTTCTGAAATCTACACCCATTAATTACATGCTCAGTGGCTGGTAAATAAAAGAGAAGGACTGATTAAGAATTTTTGGTGCAGAAGTCATTGCTGCTTTACGAGAATATTAAGACAGCAAAAGACACTACTGCCAGCTTTCTCATTGCTGGATATTTTTCTTCTTATCTGAAAGAAATTGAATCTTTAAAACCTTCCCACCAATCAAGGTTCATATGCAATGCCTGAAGCTGTTATTTATTCTTACACAGTAGAAGGACACCTTCAGAAACATGTGATAGGGCATCCTGAAATACACTTTAAATGCATGCTCTGCAACAAACTCAAATGCTTATTGGAAGAAAGCTTTGCAAATATTATTAAAGCAAAAGCCAAGACAGAACCAGAGGGACTGAGGTTGGAAGCCATCTCTGGAGGATGGCTACTGTAAACTCCTGTTTGGATACAGAGCTGGTTGTCACAGACTTTGAGTTGGGTTTTGATTATCTCCAAGTATAGAGTCTCTACAGGTTCTCTGGGCAATCTGTGCAACTACTGGATTACCCCCACAAACAAAAACCCTGCATTATATTTAAATGGAATCTCTTGTTTTCCAATTTGTGCCCTTTTCCCCTTGTGCTTCTAGTAGGCTCCACTGAGTAGGAATCCATCTTCTTTACACTCCCCAGCAGATATTCATACAGATGGCTAAGCATTTTCTTCTTCAGGTAGAACAGTCTCAGCTTTCTCAGCTTCTACTCAGTTTCAGTCCCTTGAGCATTTCTGCAGCCCTTCACTGTATTTGTTTCTGTATATCTGTCTATATCAAGAAGCACAGAAATGGACCCAACACTTCAGATCAGTCTCACTAGCTGGGAGCAGAGGGGATTACTTTCCTTGACTGCAAGTGTTGCTCTTCCTAATGTACCCAGAAGTTTGTTTGCTTTCTCTTCTGCAAAGGCACATTCTTTGATAACATTCAACATGTTGTCCATCAGGATCACTAGGACCAACTTCGCAGAATGGCTTTTAAGCTACGTGGCCTCAGCCTGAGTTATGTCACCTCATGTGCTGGACTTCACTTTGTTGGATTTCATAGAACTTGTGAAACTCACATTGAGAAGAGGCAATTTAGCAAAACAGCTATTTACCATACATAGAAAATATGATTCTGTTTATTTTCTGATATATTCCTGTGGTTAACAAGATGATAGCAAACTTAAGAGCAATTCTCTTTTGATGATTTTAGTTTGAGATCATCAAGATCAAGATAGAGGGACAAAAAAAGAAAAATGTGAAGCATCACAGACTGAAAATAAATTCCTCTAATGGGCCTTGAATTATTATTTCTTGATTATGGCAGTCATGAAGTTTGAAAAGCATCTATGAAAATGTAATGATCAAATACCTTATCAGTTAAATCTTTCCAACATTCTGGCTTTTAAAGAAGCACAACAGAATTCTAATCTTTCTCAAAATACTTTTTTTTTGCCTACACAGGTGGGGTACAAAGTGTCCAAGATGACAAATTATTTTATTACCATAAAAAATGCCAATATGAAAAGACATACCCTGGTGTTCAGTCTCAAAGGGAAAGAGAAATGCAGGAAAGAGTTTCTGTTATGGTGCCTCAATGAGAAGTAATTGCAATACTCTCACCAACAAAGGGCTCATTTCGTATTTTAGAATGTTTTCATATTTGTTCCTAACTAGCAGAAGGAAGAAAGAAAATTACTGTTGGCAGTTTTCATATTACTACAGCTTTTTACCTTAAATCAATTTGATGTATAAAGCTATAAATTTCAGTTGAAACTTCTTCTATAGGAACGAGATATTTAGCTGTCTAGAAGTGCTCCATCAGTCACTCACAGTTAGCCCTCTGCCTCTTTCAGCCTCAGATTATATGGTGTAGGTACAACAATTCTGAATCGTATAAATATTGGTCTGAAAGTGGAATCTGAAGAGAAATGGGAAAGAGATATGGGGAAATAAATGTTTTGTTGTTTTGGGTCTAGCTGTGCATCTCACCTGATTCATTTCTAAACAAGTACTACTTTATTCATCTATTTCTGTATGCTTTCCTTTGTTTTCTCAAATCAAGTCTGCTTGCTGCTCATTCATTTCACATCCACTGCTTCTTCTTCAACTGTTATTTCCCTGCTGTCTCCATTTTCCCTTTGCAGAACAAACTGAAATCTGTGATTTCCACCTCCTCTAATGGTATTCTTTCCTAAGCTATTTCACTCTCATTGATTCTAAGCTCCCTAGTAGCATTTGATCATGCTTACCTGTGACTTAACGTTGACACCTTAATTGCTGTTTTAATTCTTTTTAAATAATCTATACTGGATTTGGATAGGAAAATAAGTTATTAATGCTGTGTTGTTCTATATCCTTTTTTCTTTCTGACAGTTGGTAGACTTCTTCAAAGCATGGAGACCTCTCGGTTTTCCAGATGTAGTTCTCTTTGTTCCTTTAGCTCATCTTGGGATTTTCTCAGTACTTTATTCCCAAGGCTTCCCTTTCCACCAGATAGTTCTGTGGAACAGAGGGGGAAGAGGGTCTGTTTCTTTGTTTCAGACCTGACCCCTTCTACCCACATGAGCTATCTCAACAAATCTCTTGGACAACCACTGGTCTGTTCACAAGCAATCTGAACACTTAACTTTCTCTCCAGTGGCCTTCTGGCCTTTCTTCTTTCTTGATCACTTTTGACAAAACTTTCATCTTGCCACTGTCAGATAATCTTGCCATTTTCTTCTCTTAGCCCTCTTCCTACATCTTAAGACCAAAACTTCTAGATATCAATGACTCATTTTTCTAAAAGATCTCTATCTTAGTTATAAAATAACATAAAATAATGTAAAATAGTTCATGCTAACCCACTTTTTTTAGCTAGAGTCCCCATCCTGCAGTCTTCCTCTAAAGAAATTACTTTGCACTAAAAATATCTAGCCTTTGCTTATCTTACTCCCACTCCTCTGCTCCATCACCCAACCACTGCCGTATCACCCCCCACTGCCCATCAGCCAGCACCATCCTAGACTTAAAAAGACCCTTTGAGCTCCTCATAGAAATCCGCTAACTGACCTTGTTGCTTTCTTTCAAATCATCCCTAGAAGTTGCCCTTTGTAATGATGCTTATAAGAAACAAATTTAGCAGCTGTCTGATAAACATAGACTACTGCCTGCTATACTGTCTATATTATTTGCTCATTACACCTCCCAACTGCTTTTTATAATACCAATGCCTTCCAAGAGAAGAGAAAGGCTTTATAAGAAACTCTTAGCTTGTTTTTGGTTAGTGCAGTAGGTATGCTGATCCTTACCCTAGCAGGAACTTCTAGATGCTGTCAGAGGACATACAGTACACAGGATATCGCTGTACAGAAAGTAGTATGCTATACATGTTCTGTCAATAATCTGAGTTACTCTGTGAAAACCTGACAGAACCTGGATACAGAGTGTCTTGCAGTCTGTACTGTGAAAGGAATACGAGAAACAGAATTTTCAACATGTTCTTAACGGAAACTTTGCTTTACAAATTTATAATAGGAACACGCATCCCTGTCACTGAGAAAGGCCCCATGACAATGACTAGCTATAGGACAGCTAGAATGCCAGCAATCTGAGACACAGAGGATGGGCATTTATTTAAGGCCACACAGTAGTTCTGTCCTGACAATAGCCCCCAAGAAACCCGTGTTTGATTTGAAAAATAACTAAGTAGGGGAAGGTAATGTGAAATTCTTCAGTCACACAGCCTCACATGCAACCTCAGTCTCATCCATGAGAAATTTTTGAATATGAATCTAAATTAGCAAATCTTCAGACAAATGCAGCACGTTACCACAGAATGGCTCAGGTTGGAAAGGACCTCAAGGATCATTAATCTCCAACCCCCCTGTACAATCAATGAATGTACAGACATTATAGATATGAGATGAACCAGAGAGCTTAGCCACACAGTTGTTGCAACAAAGCAAAAAAGACATGATGCTTACCCATACCATAGGCTCACTTAGAAAACTCCAGCAGAGTGAATCTCCAGAAGAGAACCTTCCCTGCTGGTAGTCAGCTCTTAAATGGAACTAGGAGAGGTGGAGCAAGGCTCCACCCCTTCCAGCAGCACAGGTGAATTGCCTTCACCTGTGCTCCTGTGGCTGACTCATTGCTTGCCTCAGGTGATCAATCAGAGGTTCAGATTGTGATTCAGCAGTTCCCATACACCCCATGCCACATGCAGGGCCACCAACCTCCCCATTTAATAAAACTAGACCAGGCTGCCCAGGGCCCCATCCAACCTGGCCTTGAACACCTCCAGGGATGGGGCATCCACAGCCTCTCTGGACAGCAGTTCCAGCACCTCACCACTCTTTCTGTAAAGAACTTCCCCCTGACATGCAACCTAAATCTTCTCTCCCTCAACTTAAAACCATTTCCCCTTGTCATGCAGTTATCAGACTGGCTCTGATCAGAACTAGGTTGCAAACCCAGATTTCAGTAGGGTTGTACAGCTCCAGGACATCTAGTTGCGTCAAATTCTCTGACAAATGCTTCATATTATCCAGAATATGATATTTCATCATATTTGAAAAATTATCTGTTGATAGCTTCTTGGTTTGTTTGGTTTGTTTTTTGTTTGAGGTTTTTTCTTAAGTATGAATTCAGGCATAGCAGATATATTTTCTGAAGAACTGGTAGATAGAAAATGCAATGCTAGATACAATTCAAACTACAATAGATGACATATTTGAAACTTCCCTCTCAAGGTTTTAAGTGTCTTGAAGAGAAACAGGAAAAAGAAATGAGATAACGTGATGGACATGATGTTAACCATGTGATAGTTAGCATTCTGTGAAACCAAGCTAAAGACCTGGAAACAAGTTCATATTAGAAAATATAATATTGGTTCTGGTTCCTGAAGGCAAAATAAATAGAGAACTGAAATAGAATATTTTGCTAAAGATGGGCAAGGCATAGGTAAGTTTGATATGCATTTGCAGTATGTCTTGGCTTGTCAGATATTTTCTTATGAATGTCAGGTATGCAACACGTCAAACAAAAGAAGAAAGTCTCAGTACAAAGGAAAGTTTTAAGAGACAAAAAAAAATCAAAACCTAGTTTGTACTGTTATGAGTCACCTTTCAATTTGATGAAAGTAAATATGGAATAGGTAAAATTTGTGCTTTGAGAAATTAGCACACGGAGAAAAATAATTACTTTAATACTTTTTAACTTCTGTGCTTTTTGTAAAAATATTAAGTTTCTACTGGGAACTGCAGTGCCTATCAGTAGTGCTCGTTGCTATTACTGCTCTAAATACTAGCGTTATTTCACGTCTGCTTTTGAACAGTCTTAGATAAATGATTATATGTGCGTATGTACACAGACATGTTTGAAAAATCTGCTGAGAATTCTGGGAAACAACCAGAAAATCCTAAACTGTAGAGAATTGGATTCAGTCCTTAAATGGAGTTCAGCAGAGTTCTGTGATTTGAGTTACTCCCCTATGGCAACAGCAGTCTGCACCTATCCTTTATTTTAGAAACAAGCGTATGCAACTCTGGCCTCTCTTCTGTCTGTTGCAGGCAGTGTAGTGTAGAACATTGTGCTATTGCAGGTCAAAATGGATCATGTCTTTCTGTTCTTCTGTGTGACTGCATACAAACATCATTAGCACGATGGGGTCCCAATTCCAGTTAGAGCTTTCTTGGGTCTCAGAGTGCAGGGATTTACAGATTTTTGCCAAAACACATGAAATTTTAGAATACTTATTTACTAAGCTCTTCTTTGCCTCCAAGAACTAAAGCAAAAATAATTTATAACGTTGACATTTCACCATCCATAATTTTCTAACCAATTTCCATTTGCCCTTTGCATTGCACTCACAAATAGTTGCTGGATTACATTTGGTTCTTGCCTTCTCCACAAACTGCATGAGCAAAACTGTGTTGAGCTGTAATTTGACTCACTGATAATTGCTGACATATGGCATATTGAATAAGGAGGGGAGAAAAAAGTACTCCTGGGGGGTAAGTGATTAGCAATCTTAACATAAGAATTACTGACATTCTGATTTTACATTTTCTGACAGCTCTTTCTAAAATCCTGCCTCCCAAAATGTGCTTCTTTTCTGTTTATTTGGAAAAGAAGGTGCAGGAAACACTATAGTGAATTATGCTGTAAAAGAGAAGTCAGAAAACTCATAAATCCTGCAAATAAAGCGATCAGCCAGAAACGATCATGCATATTTAAAACTATTTACAAATGGGGCAGAGCATGAGCAGCTGCATCCAGTACTTAAAGCTCTCAGATGGAGAACAGATCATTTACAAATACCAATGAATATTTCCTGGGAAACTTGCTGTATGTAAACAGCGGACATCCAAAGGAGAAAATTCTCATTTACCACTCACACTTTCTCTAATGGGGAAATTATTTGGTAGTGAGAAAATAATATATCACCTACACTTTCCTAATCAAAAAGATTCTGTTTGAAATATCCACCCACAAGTAGTCAAATGAACAGTGCAATAATGTGAAAAGCAGAAGAACAATTCTTCATTTAATCAAGAAAGTCAATAGCTAGAGTATTTTAAGAAATGACTATTTGCTCAGACACTGACTATATTTTTTGATGATAGAATTTAAGTGTTAAAAAATAGCAGAAACTTTACAAACTACTATGCACTTTGAGTAGAACAGTTTTAAGAGATGGGCTATATCAAAATAATGAATATGTTTCTGTGCATGATTATATAGCAGAACAGAGCTTATGGAGGGAATGCAAATGTCCTCACATTTATACAAATTTGAACAATTCCTCAAAAAATTTTCAAGAAAAACCCAGTTTTCTCCCGAAAGATTGTAGCTGTTTTTGGAATTGTTCTGGCTTCCTGTACTAAAAGGAAACAATGCTTCTCTCAAGTTTGCTATATTCTTGTGGAAAGCTTTAATCCATTCAAAATACAAATTTATCTTGGTCTCAGAAAGACTTTTCTTTCAAAAACAATATTGGAAAATCCATGTTCTTACTTTAAAAATCACCTGTTTGTTTCAGAGTCTGCAGAGCACTGTAAATGTGTTCTGTTGCATCCTGCCCCAAACTGCAACACTGAACTGGTCATCTTGTCAAGAAATCACCACTTACCTATGCGATATGTATGAAAAGGCTGTGTCCTGCACAAGATCAAGCACAGTATCACTAGTGAAAGTACAGAAGAACGAGAGAAGGTGCTATAGCTTCTAACTCACATGAGCTGGCTGAGCATACTTCTGGGAATGTTTCTGGCGAGCTTTGTTTTTCGAGACCTATATGCTGGACTTGGTAAATCAATCTGTCTCCTGGAGCACGAATAACCATTTCTACTTATTATCCTCTTGGACATAATTTGGGAACACAGAGCTACTTTGCTACATTTTGCAATCCATGATCCCCTTAGTCATGTTAAAAACATGTTATTCAATTAAGAGGATTCAGCATCAGTAAACCAGAGTATGACCCTATTCTGCCTGGAATATGAACGTAAAAAATGAATCTCCTTTATCTATTTGGGATGAACTTATATGCCCTTAACTGAGAAGCTACATCCAACATATACAAACATGTGACTGTCCCTGCCTTGGGCTTTCAGATGTAATGCATGAGTTTCTCCTTAGCAGCTTGCTTGCATACACATACCAAGAAACTGGGAAGATCTGCATCTAAATCATTCTAGAGAAGAATCCACTTCGTTCAACCAGGGGTATTCAGAATAAAATAGTATTGGCATGGAGCGGAGAATAAACCAGAACAGCCAAATAAAACAAGCGAGAGAAAACAAGCTAACGGAAAGAAGATAAAGGCAATGGTAACTCTGTCAATTCTGTCTAAGTCTATGCCAGCTACACTTAAACAAAAACACTGTTCCCATTCTTCTTGGATTGCAATAAAGGACCCAGATGCTGGGCTTTGAAAGATATTTCTCTAGCAGCAGGATCTGACTCACTGGCAGACTTGTCAAATAGTTTAGCTGGCAACCTCGATGCTGCCTATATGCAGTAACATGAAGCTCAGGGCAGGCTTGTTTCCCTACTTGCCAATTCCTTGGACAGTGGTTGTTCTTTCTCATGAAGATAAAGCATATACGCAATTTACAGTTCTGCTCTTTTCAAAGCAATAAAAGCTTTTTTTTTTTTTTTTTTTTTTTCAGTATTGTAGCAAAAATATGCATGATTTTTTCCCCATTTTCCTCACAATTCATTGTGTGTGCCATGCTGAGTCATGCACATAGTAACATACCATGCGCAGCAGTACTGAACATAAAGTGAATGCTATAAAGTGTTGTTCTTTAACATCATTCTGTTAACAGTCAGTACCCAACGCAGGCAAGCTTTGTGTCATCTGCAAATTGCACACAAAACAACTTCAAGAAAATCTATTACGTTTTACTGACTGGAAACAAGTATGAATGTGTATTATACTATGTCAGGTGTCCCTGAATAACACCTTAGTTGTTTTATTAGCATCCAAGCAAATATTTAGTCTTATGAAGCGCTGCTGATGTAAGTTTGCTAGAGATGTGTTTGTGAATCAGCAATAAAAATTGCAATCTTGTCTGGTCTTTGTCTATGATCAGATTTGAAGTTACTTCCTACCAGAAAAACTAAAGCAAAACAAAATAGAACCAACAACAACAAAGGCAGTTCCATTATATTTTGCTTGACATAATATAAGTGTAACACACATGTAAATAAAGCAAACTCAGCCTTGAATAGATTAGTGTTCCTTCTCATGACTTTCTCCTCTGCTAGAAAGCTAATCTGATAGATTCTAACTCAGCTATTCGGGATTAAATGCACAACATTATAGCTGGCTAAAATCTAATTGCCTGGTCTAAACTGGACAATCAGTCATCATATCTGCTCCCCATGGAGCTATTGGGGAAAAGCAGCTACATATCTGAGAGCTATTCCTCCCACCTCTCAAACAATTAACGTGGCATGAAATGCCTGCTTCTCACTGGTGACTGCAGGAGGCCTGAGTAACCTGGAACAGAAATC